CTTTTGTGACTAATAGCATTGAATAGATTTATTATTCAATGCTAATAGTAAACGTCAAGGAATGTCACAGCAGGTTTTAGTAACTTAGACGGTTTTTTTTAATAAAATACGTATGAACTTAATCGTTATTTTCGCAGGTCTGTCTATTTTGCGTTTAAATCGCGTTATAAAAGTGTCATAAACACGGTTATGCTTTTGAAAGACTGATTTAATTAACACAAAAACAAGAAAAAAAAGGTCTCCTCGTAAAAATGGAAAATTGGATTAAAACTGTAGCATCGGGAAAAGCGTTCAGCAATAAAAAATTGAAAGCACGTGTATGGTGTATTAAGATAAGCCAGGACTTTTTTGTGTGCCGGAATTATGTAATATTGTATTCGGCGAATTACATCATAAAATCTTTATACATAATCTTATATTCCTACTTTGGCGCATTTTAGAAAAGTCGAAATCCGCTTATACAATGTCTGTCTGTCGGCATGCATATTGGAGATGACTTGGAAAAGTTTGATGGAATCTGTTAAATAAAATTACTACGTACTTCTAAAAAGAATTTATATGCGAAACGATCTTGACCGTAAAATCATTTTTTTTTAACAAACAAGATGAGTTGTTTATGGATAGGTATGCAAATTACACACTTGCTACTGGAAAACATAATCGCGCACAATATTACAAAATTAAATATTTTTCTCAACATGAATTTTCGGCTCTTATATATTTAATGGCGTTACGGTCTGGAACCTAACCCAATGCCTTTCTATCAAATGCATTATTTAGTAAAACAAAATTAAAAAATGCTGTTTTAATCCTCATCCTCATTCCTCGCTTAAATTAAAAAAAGTATATTAGTATGTAAAAGCTTTTCCACATTTCAACTTGTTTCTCAGATGACATATTTCATACGATATTTGCAAACAGCTTTTAACAACTTGGTTTAATATATGATTTACTGTAAAACGCTTTCCTAAATTGCTATTGCATTTTATAATTCAATAGTTGGAAGTACCATTGTAATTAATAAGTTTATTACCAAGAGAACAATAATAATCATGAAGTAAAGGAAAATGCTCGCCTGGGGAGAATTTCGGCCAATGAATACCTGATCCCAAAAAACTAACTTGATCTAATTTAAGAAAAAAAAATTTAGTTTCTTTCTTCAACATCCCCACTGGAACTGCATTTTCTGACACACAAAATATCTCTGAATTTCGAGAATGACTATCGGTAAAATGTCTGCAACATTATCTTCGCTACATATGGTTGAGTTTCAGACAGTTTTTCTTATAACTTCTCTCACACACTGATGGCGAATATCAATATGCTTTGACCGCGCATGTTGTTGTAGGTTATAGGTTTTGAGTTCGATTCCCTTAACATGAACTGTAATTGGAATTTGCTTGGGTTCCAGAAAAATATGAAAAGGTCTGTAAAGACTGGTCACAAACTCAGATTTGTTTCGATGAGAATACAGAATACACCTTTATGATCCAGTTCTGAATTTAATTTGTCTATTAATAGTCCAAAATTTGTTTTCATAAACGACAATAAAAGCTATCGATCAGAATTTACAATAACAATACAATATGGTAACGAACCCTGCCTTTCTCTATGAGCTACGCTCACTTTTACTAAGGGCAGTAAAATTCTAAACGCACTACCGTTATAATAATAAAAAAAAATGGCAAATTTTGGATTCAATTATTGTGGCTCTTTTGGAAAACGCCGTACTAACCCAAAACGCTAATCTGTTGGCCTTGAGTGACAACACGCGAACCTCTCTCGTTGATCACCACGGCTCAAACGCGAATCTTCCTGTACCGCTACTCAAACGCCACTCTCTTTGGTTGACTCACCAATAGCAACTAACTGTTCGCCTTGATTGACCAAAAGCAACTAGTTGGTTTCGTGCAAAAGTTCATCCCCTTTTTATATATTAAGCCAACTTAAAATGCCTACTTCATAATGGACAGCAATGGACGAGGTACTTAGTTAATTACCATTGGTTCGCTAACGTTAGGGCTATACCTTCCAAAATAGCCGACAGCGGAATTTTTGTTTATTCCTCATCAAGGAAGCTTTGACTTGCAACGTAAGATATGAAACATTATAATACCTCTTTTTTCCAAGTAAAACGACACCGTTTCCCGTCAATGGGGCGCCGACTGTGATAAAGTTCTCCAAAATGAAACATTGACCATAACATTACGAATATTTGTTTGGTAGAAATAACGGAAATCTTTCTTTCTTTGATAAGGCCCTGTTCATCCTTTCTACCAAGCCATTATACTCAGGAATATATAATAATAATAATCCCACTGGAATCTGTTATTGCAGCTACTTTGCTGTTACAAAACTCCGAAAATAACCGTATGTCCACTTTCTGTCATAGTTTCAAAACTGGAACATTGTTTTCGCGAAGACATTAAGGTTCTTGTACATGTGGGAAGTTGCGCCAGAATCAAAAATCCATTCTTTCTCTAGACACAAAACATGTTCTTGCCGTCAGTTTTCTTCTTGTCGAGCTTCCAAGGACAATTCGATTTGAAGTGTCCGAATTCATGACATATATAACACTCTACAGTTTTCTTGAAGTCACCAGACCTTGGTTTCACAATAACGGCAGCTGTTTAGTCCTGAAGTAACTTTGTCTTGACATAGTTCCTAACTGGTTATTCTCTCTTCTTGTTCTCAAGTGTTCAATTTAATTCTAGAACCTTAAGGAGATCTTCTTGAGCTCTAAGGGTTCTTCTTTCTTCTTACAAATACTAATTTCTTCAGCTTGCTCTCCTACCGCCTCCAACTTCTGTAAAATGATTGGTTGACTTTTCACGATTTCTTTTTTCATTTTCCTAAGTTGAATTAACCTAGGTAGAGTAGTGGTTTGATCCATCAGACCTTAGTCTGCCAAGGTCGTGCCGAACTTGCCTTCGGTTGACCCGGCATTGGTTTAAAAACTATTACTTTTGCGTGGATGTTTCATAACAGGTCTACTTTAATGCCGAACGAGGCGAAGGTATGCAAAAGTGATACTTTAGAAAGCAATGCTCAGCAAGCCTACCGCGAGTGCGGCACAAACCTAGGCAGAGTAGTGGTTTGACTTACCCCATCTTAGGTCTTGACCTCGTCTTGAACTAAACTATTTCAATTTTGTTCTCCTTTGGATTAACGTCTTTAGTTTTTTGAATTTTAATATGTTTTACTACTTTTTTCTTATTTATCTTCTTTTAATGTTTCCTTTTCTTGATTAATTTTAATGTTTTGATAATAATTTTTGTGAAATGAATTAAATTTGTTTGCTTCTGACTTCTGTTAAGCTTTTGAGGAGCTAGTGAAGCTCCTGGTCCTCTCCTTCACAGTTTTCTTGATTTCTGTGATGTCCAATCCTCCAAGTTTCTATTTGACTCATACTCTCCTCTCTCTTCTATTATCATGCCTTCTATTTCTTTTTGCTTTTTAGTTTTTTTTTTTAAATTAATTCTTGGTCTTTCATCTTCATTTGCCCTTTCTAAGATATTCGTTAACTGTGATATCGTATGTATTTGTCCAGATCCTATTAAAATACTTTGTATTTCTCTGGGGAAATGATGAGATAGGGCAGTCGCCAGTTGAGATTCCTTTATGGGTGGCCTTATTCACCCAATACCACAAAATGGTCGCTGTAACGTCTAAATTTGGCTTGGTAAAGGCGCGGTGTAGCTGGTCGCAAATGAATTTTTCCTTGTACTTCTTAAGACTTGTAGGTATATTGCTTAATGAATTCTTCTTTAAAATCTTTCCTGCTGTTCCATCGGTTTCTGTTTAGCTCAGCCCAGGCTTTGGCGGCCCCTCCCACCTTCTTTTGAGGAAGCAAGTGTGTTCTGCTCATTTGGATTTAAATTTCTTTTGGTTGAACCCTTTAAGACCAATTAATGTGAGCTTTTACGTTAAACTTTCTACAAATTGGTTTTTTACATTAGATCTTATGCCCAGTTGCACCAACAAAATTAAGCCTTGCTTAAAGTTAAGTCGAACTCAAAATCTATGGCAACGATTATTAAGACAATCGTTGCTATGGTATTTAAGTTATGCTAAACTTTAAGGGATACTTAATTTTGACGGTGCAATGGTTAGAGGCATTCAATGTTTACTTTGAATACTTAAACAGAAATAAATTTAACTAACCTGGGTTACGAGTCTTCTCGTTTATTGAATGCGTCTAGTTATAGCTAGATAGTATGGTTGTAATACAAATGTTGTAGATGTTATGCTTATTCAAAAATTAAATCTTGTATTGTTTCTAAAAAGGATGTAATTTGAGAACAGTAGGTATAACCATTGAATAAAAACACTATAATGGTATAACTAAATCCGATTATTATATAGATGCGCAATCAATTGCTAGATTAATTTTAAAGGGAATTTATCGAAGTTGTATTACTTGGTTCTATCTAAGTATGAGCTAAATTCGAATGTATAGCCTGAAGCTTCTTTAATTACACGTACCAATTTAGTCAAAATAAACAGTAACATATGAAGACGAATTGCAAAAGCAACTCATAATTTCTCTACTGCTCCATACCGTATTTTACATCGGATTTAATTTCGCTGCTTACTTGAATGCCAAATTTGCGCCATTTGTGTTGTGTTTGTGTTATTTCATTGACAAAATTCAGATCTTAAAATTTCATTACGTGTCGACGAATAAGGGAATAAGCTTAGTCGTGGAAATTTAGAAAATCACATTTTTTATCAATGTTCTTATTGAATATTGGATATATTATAGTTGACGATAGCGCATTTAATTGTACTCGAGCAAGTGCATTATCATCCCCTAATTTGGCATCCGTTATAAACAGGTGGATGTAAATTACACACCGTAGGTACACGACACGATGGCCCTTTGTTGTACAAACAGTGGAACTGCAGCGATCATTGTTAGAATGTGATTTGATTAAACTTTAGTTTCTCTTAATAATTGTTAATAATGTTAATTATTTATATCTTGTTGTTTGTTTCAGAACCATTACGAACCAAATAATGTCCGCACAAGGATCAGTAATCGTTTATCGCAAGTTGCGCGGACATTCAGGGCGGCTGTACGCTTCAAACGCTCAAAAAAAGACGCATGTCCACCGGATTTGACCGTTGATAGAAGTCAAGAGAAGAAGTCCGACAATAATGAAGTTAGCCCGCCGATTTGCTGCGGTCAGCGAATTATTGTCGATCCTGCGCACCATTTGCATTATAAGGTCTGTACTCTCCCATAGTGTCACGCGAATCGAAAAAAAATACCACTCACCAGAATAAAACGTAGATAAGTGCAGCAATAAACAAAGTTAGAGGTAATAAACATAATGGATTGGAGTTGTCGGGTCATTACGGCAATTACAATGAACGGGGAGGTTAATGGATCCCATTCGCATTAAACTTTCTTAACTTTTTAATATTGCGTTAGTGACGTTTTTCTGTTAATGGCAACTAATTTGAAAATCTATACTCAACAGATGTAATGAGCTTCGTAGCTGAAATGCATATTATTGTTCTAGTAGCGCAATTGCCATGAGATGGATAGTATATTCACAGATACATATACACAAACCTTATCCATTTCATGGGTAACGCATTTAGGTATACTTGAAAGCCTCTTCTATTGAGCTGTAGTATAGACACGTACCTTTAAAAACTGTAAAATTACAATTATGGATTTATGCATTAGATGTCGCTGCAAAAATTTAAGTAGTTCCATTGTTCAATTAAACACCTCCTATCATATATCATTGTAATAATACCCAACAATGTGGAATTCGAATTGTACAAACTTTAGCGCTTTAAATCTTTTGCAGCGCCATTTAATGCACGAATCCATAAGCGTCATTGTACAGTTTTAAACGGTAAAAAACTCCCTTGAAAAAATCTCACAGTGACCAATATATCCAGGGTGGTACCTTACAGTGCAAGATTAAAACTCTTCCTTTGTGACATGTAGTCTTGTTAAGTACGCTCTTGATACGTGACTACACTTTTATGCTTTATTCTTCTTATTGTTCCTTCTTTTCTACCTTTTGAATTCTAACTGTAAATATTTATTTAAATCCAGTAGCCTGTCAGGTTTAAATAGCAGAAAAAGGAGTTCTTTGTGCTCTTGATCTGAAACTTTGTTCGCTTGCTCTAGTATTTCGTGTACATCCATACGCTATTAAGCAGATATTACATCATTTCCTTTTCATAATCATAAAAAAAGTATTTATTTTTAATCTATACCTACCCTACTACCATTTCTCTTGCTATAAAGTACAAACGAAATGTATAAGACCACTACGACCATATCAAGGACGTGACGCAACACATGCGACTACGTGGATTGTCCCTCACTCACACCAGCGAATGCAGTAGGAGATCTGACACCTAGGTGTCGCAGGCAGGCGACTTGGCACACTATCTAGTCTACTAATAAGTGCAGAAGATTGTTATATCCATTATATTGGAATATTCTGCAACTGCGATTTGCTTTTGCAGTCCTATTTCCGTAATGGAAATAAGGACGGAAACGGAGTTTGGACTTATTCGACTCGCCCGTGCATGGAGGAATTTCGAGGGGCATATATATCCTGAATATGTCGTTGATTACGAGAGCTTACGCCGCCATATTCTCCAGGTAGTTAAGCGATTTGACGATACATGAAGTGTTGCTTGTGGAAAATTCCCTGGTCGTCCAACAGTTGCTAACGGGGCGATAGTAGAAGATGTGCGTGCTCGTCTTGAACAAAGCCCGCAAAAGCCACTGCGACAACTATCGCAACAAACTGGTTTGGCATACGGAACCTGTCGAAGAAAAAGTTAAATTTCTACCCCTACAAAGTAAGCGTCCTACAAGAACTTCATCGTCCTGACTTTGGTTTAATGAAACTCTACGAGACGACAACTTATTAGACAAAAGCTATTTATCGGTAGACAGTATCATTTGTGTTGCGGCAAATGTCATGTCTCATAAAAGCGGTACAGGCAATGATTATTGATCGCTCTGTGTGTATTGTCACGAGTTATTGTTTGTCAGTATAAAAAACCTTCAATACTCGCGCCATTCAGAATTTTCAGACAATGAACGGAAGCCACTCCACTCCATTTTTATGGGAAACTGCTTTACAAATTCCGGTCTTATTTCGAACATCCGATGAGAAAAATTCTTTCGCCCATTATTTCATTGTAGGGATGCCAATAATTTTAATGATGATTGAGCAGCAAAAGACAATGATAGCGTTACTTACAAGAATAAAATACAGTCGATAGGGCAACCAAAATGTTCTACATTGCTTTTCTTTTGTTGAAGAAAAATTGTCAATATTTGCCGATACTTTAGTGAAAGGTCAAGTTTGAAAGTTCCGCTTTATCTTTTCAACTAAAATCCTTTTGTAGAACAAGAAGCGCTTTCTGAATAATAGTTGCTTTCGAAGAATTACTCCCATGCGTCTGGGCTCTTTTATGTACAAAATAATTCCCCACGCAATTAAAAAAGGTAGACGTCTTTGATTCATAAAGTTGACTTAACTAATTAAGCTAAACTCAATTAAAATGAAGATTTCAATTTTAATTTCGCACAGGTCACATTTATTAAGGGAATGTCGGTTAAGTAGTGGAGGATTAATTAAGATAAAATTTATTTGCACGTTACGTTTTGTGTTTGATTACTCGAAGTTAATTATGAAGCCGAACGTACCTACGTGAGTTTCAGTTTGCATCAATTTCATGTCATAAAACAATAAAGCTTTATATTTCCACGAATCTCGTCCAATAACCTACAAGACTAGCGCATCGAATTTCTTATAGGTGTAGAAGAACAATGAAAATGAAAATTTGGCTTTGTCCTACTTACGAACAGAGAATAGGGATTTTTGAAATTTTGAAAGTCTAGAGTTACACATCAGGTAAAGTACGGTTGTCTTTTAGGGTTCTTATTTTTCTTTTGCATTTCATTTAATTTAGTTTTTGAGCTCTAAAAGAAAACGATTTTAAAGTTGTTGAAGAGCACAATCTAATTAAATCGATTGTGCTGCGTAGGGGTCAAACCTTTTTCCAAATTAACTACAAGGCTGTAGGATAACAGAGGCTAATCATTAATCTTATTAGGGGTACAATTGAGACTGAGCACGGTCTGAAGACGGTTTAATAGTTAAATTAGTAGGGATCATTGTACGACTGTTTTTGAATACCTCACTCATACACACAGTGTCTGGGACTTACCACTCTCCATCCAAGTTCGATCCATGGTATAGCGTGAGTTCCGTAAGTTTGTCCTTTTGAATAATTAGGTATAGTTTCCATAGACGATATGCTCTGAATTAAGTAATAACGGATTAAATCGTGGGGTCCAGTCCATTCATTAATTTTTCGTTTTCCGTGCACCAGCTTTACAATGTTAGCATTGCTTATAGCTTTCTTAAACAAGCGCGTAACAAGATTGGCACCAAATACACGTATAGCATAAAGAATGATTAGCATCTGGTCCGTAGAAGATTCTTTTAAATCTTGGTAGATTATTCTGGTGAACTGGTATTAACTTAATATAACAAAGTTTATAATAAACGTGTAAATATTTTACTATACTCCATTTTTGTTACAGTGGCTAATGGTAATATCACTGGCTGTGCTTTATAACGTTATCTTCGTCCCTGGAAGAGCTGTATTTTGGGATCTTAACAACTCTATTCCTCCGGTTTGGTTTGCATTTGATTATATCTGTGATATGATCTATGTTTTCGATATTCTTGTGCGTGCACATGAAGGTGAGTAGTTTGACGCAATTACTTAATAAATACGTAGTGTAAAATTTGTTTAAAATCTACATTAGAAGTGCCCAGACGTAACAAAATAGGTTACGTTTATTTGTACATCTGTGATAGGCATGACCCTTCTCGTGACAATTCCAACATATTTTTGGGAAACTCTCGAATACCCTCTTGATTTATGTGCAGAATTATTTTTCGTAAAAGCGCCCTCTTTGGATTTGACGTTATTTGGGATGGGATATTTACTTGTTACTCTGCTCCAACTTTCATTACCTTCCTCACCATAACCTCCAAATAGATATTGAATGAAGTTGGTGATAGATAACATCCCTGCCTAGTGCCTAAGTCCTCTTCCTATTCTAAACCATTCAGATAAGTTCTTTCTTTCTCTCTAATCCACACCCTTGTCCCTTTTCCAGATCATTTTCACTACTGCAATTGCATCCCTGGTTCCCCAAACCCTTCAGATCTTCCCCCACTAGCTCCTCCATTACCCTCCCCGACCTCCTATCCAACACCCGCAACAAAATCTTAGGAGCATGAGCTATAAAACTTATTGTACTGCGTTATTCGTATTTCATTCTTCCCTTCTTTTTCTGAAGCGATATCATAACGGTTCTAAGAAAGTCCTGGGGCCACACTCCACTCTCGTAAATCTCAATACACAAATCCCTCAGTATCCTTCATCCTTCTTCCTTTGAATCTTCTATCTAAACACTTTACTAATTCGACCGGTATCTCGACTATCCCAACAGCCTTACCATTCTTTATAGCCGCTTTTAGTTCTGTCATCAAAATACTCCCACCCTTATCTTCCTCTGATACTTTCGATTCTTTCTCTATATTTATTCGTTCAGGTTTCGCAATTGCCTTGTGCAACCTTTCCATACATTCTTTCCATTTATTAAGTACAGGGCGATCCCCTTTCCGTCTTTGCTTTCGATGCTTTAAGTTTATCATTTATCCCACACCATGTTTCTTACTACGTTCCAGACAATGTCATGCCTGCTTATTCAATCGAGCTCATCAATCTCCTTGCATTAATTTAGCAGCCATTGTTCCGTCATCTTCTTAATTCATTATTCAGTCTTCGATATTTCTCTGTTCCCTCTGCCGGTTATACATCCTATTTCTTCCATCGTTTCAATAATTTCAAATCTTGTCCGTGGCTTCTTTTGTTCTCCTATACTCCACCTCCTTCTCACCTTCTTTGATTATCGCTCTTCCATTTGTCTTCTGTAGTTTCATGATTTTTCATTGCAACCTCCATTTTTATTTCAATTTCCATTGCCTTACCTATATCAATCTCCTTTAATTTTACATAATCCCATTCCTTTACTCTGTTTGCAACTTTAATACTTTTCAATTTTATTTCCAACTCTGCCAACAAAGGGACATGGTCACTGTTAATTCGTACATCTCGAAATCCACGCGAATTTTTTAACCCGTCATTTCTGTATCTCTCTCCAATTATGATGCGATCAATCTGCTTTAGTGCTCTCGATATATGTCTTCAGGGTATTTCCGGGTGTAAAGTTTCCTTTTGTGATTGTGATGTTCGTACAAAGGTTGGCTGTGTCCATCTTCCTTTCCTTGCAGAATTCTATTAGACGTACACCCCTTTCATTCCTCGCTCCAAATCCATAATCTCCAAGGACTCTGTCCACTCTACCTTCTCCAATACTAGCTTTCCAGTCATCACTCACTATTTTGTTACAGCTCTTCCTTCTTTCTTCATTACACATTCTATTTTCTTGTACTCGTACTCTCACTATCTTCATAATCAAGACTTTTTGGAGTACTTAGTACTTAGTCTTGCTGCAATAATTTCTTTCCAAAAGGCCCACTCAATTCGTCCCTTTAATATCTCCGCTGTAGTACAACATTATTCCGTCTCTTGTATCATTCCTCTTCCCTCACTTTACTTCGCTTATTCCAATAATACCCAATCTATTTCGTTCTATTTGCCTCTTCCGGTTTTCCAACGTTTCAGCTCCCATTAGGGATCTAACGTTCTATATTCCTTCTCAGTCTGCTTTTTGCACGTTTTGTAGGGTTCTCTGACGATCTGAATGGAAAACTATTTTAACTCCGGAACACTTAGCATTGGAGAAATCCATACCAAATAAATGTGTACTCATCTATCACCTGTTTCCAGGGAAATACTGCTAGGATCTCTAATGGGGTGGCCTACCGAGGCTTTCCTCAACTTCATACCGTTAAATCTTGATAAACTACTTTGCCTTTGAGGGCCATTCTACAACCCGCGGAACAACAGAGTTGCTCGTCCTCTACCCCCTCAACCGTTGGCCCTTTGTATAGGATTGACTTCTGATTCCGTCGCCATGTCCTCTTCGGTGAAAACAAGTTGTACCACGTGAGGGCGAAGTTTGGTATTTGAAGGGGAAATAAATTACTGAGTGTGAAGGTTTCTCGAACTTAAAAACTTACACTCCAAGATTTTCTCGTTGTGATATGGATTCAGAAATACATGCTGCTAATTAAATTCAGTAACCCTATCAGAGGTCAGCTCATACATATTTATTGAGTTGCAGAGAAATGGGACCTTGTTCAATTAAAAGAGAAATTATGACTTCCCGATTGCAAAACGAGACCAAACCTAAACTGAGTACCTACAATTTTTTTGTTTCCAACCCTAAAATATCAACCAAATTAAAATTTTAATTATTCAAAGCAGAAATGTCTACGTGTATGAAGGAGGTGAATACAAACACGCAAAGGATTATAGAATTCTACGCGTGGCTGCGAAGTTTGCTTTCAAATCGCATTGAAGGCGCTTCTACGAACTGTTAGTATTTCAAAATACGCAAACTTAAACAAAAGTAAGTTCAATAAAGCTCCGTTCAGGCCCGATTCGTACCTGTTCAATCACCGAGTAATCTGGGATTGAAGGATTAATTAACTAATTTATAATTAGCATACCAAATGTTGCATAGATCAGAACACATAACAATACGGTGCAATTTCAGGACAAGGACGCAGCATATGCACATTATGATTACTGGCTGAGTAGAGAAGTGCACATGGAGTTTTTCATTTGGGCAAATGTTGGCCAAACCATCAGTTTTCACATTTCTTTTACCTTTTGTGTAATTAATTTCCTAAGGATTAATCTAAATTGTGCTAATCTTGATTTTTGAAGATGAATTTGCCTTTCCATATATATCAAAGGTCTATGATCTGGAAATATTTAAATTTACGGCCATACAAATACGGTGGAAAGTGGTTTAGTGTTCATGTTACCGCTTGTCTTATTATATGTAACGATCATTGTTGCATAAATGGTTGACACTTCCCCTCTACAAAAAATACATTTATTGGTAGCTATTGTAACGGGCAGGGTTGAAGACCCCACTTGCATAAAATAAAATTAAATTTAATCTCTACGGCACTGGTAGAAATCCCAAAATAACAATTAATTTACGCACGACTAGCTCGGTAACAAATATGTTTGCAGCTTCTAAGATCTGAAAGTCTAACGTTCTGGTTCAATGGTTCCATTTTTCTTTACGCGTTCCCACGTACACAATATTGGTTTTAGAAATATATAAAAAATGCAATGCCTATATGATCAAGTGTATCTGCTAAATTTGATTCCTACCTGTAACAGTATCCTGTGTATACCTTTGAGAACGGTTATCGCATCGAATGAATACGTAAAGTTTATCAGTACGAATAAATATTGATGACGCCGGTGCTCAAGCGTCCTGAATTTTATAAATTGAGCATTGTATTTTACCCTTTAGGAAGAGTCAATTTATAAATTAAGAAGTTATACGTCCGCAATTTATTTAGAGCAATTAATAGGAGCCGTCATTACCAATATAACTGAGTATTTATAAGTGCAATATTGGCACAACATGATTGCCAGGAAAAGTGTATGCTGTATATACGTACGTTCCAAAAGCGTACAAAGATTATTTAGTGCTATTGGCGTACAAGGTGAGGTTGATCAAATACTAGGCACTGAACGAAATTAAAATGCGCGCCAGTTGCGTATACCCGCCATTGGCGAAAAAAAATTGCAAATTCAGTCCAAAATTAACGAAACTAGCACAAAGTCTGCCTTGCAATTAAACGGAACGGTAGAAATTTTTGTGCAAGGAAAAGTAAAAGCGATAAATACTATGCAGTAAACTTTATGTCAAATAAATTTACGGAAAGTATCAAAAATTAATACGGTAAATGTCATTAGCAGAACACCAACGGCAAAAGATCCCCTCTAATCAACGGCTGTACCTTTGATAAAGTTCGGCCATTTCATGGAGGGATCGACAGTTTCCCACCCGAAACAGCGTATTCGGTTATCTACGTCCAAAAATTAAAACTTCCTTAATTAATTGTACGGGCTGCGGACGTCTTAAAAATCTGTATCTGGTCTTAACATTTAAAGTATCTAAGAACTCTCGCGACTTAATCGGAAGCTATTCACTGCATCTCATTTGATCACCTACCGCTAATTACACTGACCTAATTTGCCTGATAATATATAACGGTCGGTAGAAAATACACGCTTGGGATCTGTTACAGCGGTAGTTCGTTCTGGGCATTTCATCTTCGTCACTCAATTTCTAACTTAACTCTCCCCGTATCAAATCAGAAGATGCGAGGGTAGTAATAACAGTAAAAATCAATTTAGGTACCACAATAAATATTGGTTTATTCTTAAAGATCAATATCAAAATAATAATTGTCTCCACAATCGGATAGCGTATCACACAAAATACAACATATTCCCAAATACTCAAAGTTATAACTTTCTTTACTCACAAAACTTAGGAACGTCACTGTACAATTGAAATTCCTTAGTTAAACATACCTCTCAATCAAGAATGTTCGATTAAATTAATATACTGAATCATAACATAACTTTCCACAAATTAATAAACTGATATTCCGGACATGAATTCGCACGTATAGGGCCAAGGGCAAGTAAAACATATAAGGCACGCTTACCTTAGAATAAAGTTAGATGTCGACGCCAAGAAGTGAGCTCAATTCTCGCATCCAAACGTGAAATCAATCAAAGAAAATCTCCCACGCCGTTCCGCAGGGCTGGATATACATATAATTATATTAGGTACTGTACTTAATTAACCACTTCAGAAGAAAGTTGCGGTGTACAATAATATTCGCATTTCAAACTCGATCATAATTTAACCAAGATGGCAAAGACTAATTATTTGAATGTATTAGCTTAGCATATAACCCAGAAAGGGCAGAATAATTATGAATTAATTCGAAAAAGAGTTGTCTCTTTTGTTTGGGATCGATCCCTGATAACAAATCTCCTTCATGAGCCGTTGGCCAATTTTACAACAAATACCGCTCGTTATCACGGCACTCGCAGGTATGGGTATATTTAAACCCAAGGTTACAAACAGTTTCTTATGTAATGTAACGTATCCGGAATTTAAACTAGTGCTTACAATTAACACTAAAATTAAAACCCTAAAAGAATTCAAAGGTAATCCTACGTTGATGTAATAAAATGTACATACCTCTTAAATAAGAGGGATAATTGTAGATAAAGCAACAATTGTCGATGGAAAAATTGTAGTACACAAATATCAGACCAAGGCAACTTTTCAAAATTAGAGGAGACCCCGTCAATGAAAGATAAGTCTTTCAGCAACATATGTCGACTTGCGCGTATTTATATATCATTCCATAATGTTCATTTTCCACATACCATTTATCGTACAAAGCGCTGCATAGAAGTTTTACAGAATTTTGCAAAACATCTTTTAACTAATCGTTAGAGATATTAAATCTTTGCGTTAGTTAATAATTCAGTACATTTAAATCCGTTTTTATGTGAAGACCGCGTCTCCAATTTGAAAATTTTCCCTCGCGTAAATTTTATCACCTGTAAAGGAATGACCTTGCCACAAATTAGGCTAACTTTCGAATTTTAATGTAAAATTAAGCCTGCAGGTAATTCTCACTTCGTCACCAGTTTATATTCTTAAAACGGCGCGTTTTTAAATATGCAGCTGAGCTAAATAGCGGCGACGTCTTTGATTAGAATTTTTCACAGCAAAAAAAATCCGGTAACACATTATTGCGACTGTTTCTCTAATAAAAATTTAGCACAACTGTGGTACTGGTAGTAACTGTTCGCGAAAAAGAACCAAAAAATAAGTCTTGGATCTTCGAACCTACACCGAGCTTAAAAGTAGAGAAACTGCGCTATTTACCGAAAGCAATAATATTTTCTTTTGCCATAGGTTATTTGGAACAAGGACTGATGGTGACCGATGCAAAAAAGCTCCGTAAAAACTACTTGTCAGCGACTAACAAATGGAAAGTGGACATGATCTCTTTACTTCCTACGGATGTGACGTATTGTTGGTGGTCTCCATCCGAATGTACGTTTCAAGTGCCGTGTGCAGTGATAGTAAGGTTAAATAGGTTAGTCAAGCTACCTCGAATTTGGGATTGGTTCGAAAGAACAGAAACAGATACCAATTATCCAAACGTGTTCCGAATTTGCAAAGTGCTTCTCGCAATTTTAGTTTTAATCCATTGGAACGCGTGCCTCTATTTTGCAATTAGTTACGCAATCGGTTTCGGTACCGATAATTGGGTGTATAATATAGAAGGTCCAAAAAATTCCACACTATCGCATCAATACATTTATTGTTTCTATTGGTCCACGTTGACGCTTACGACAATTGGTGAAACCCCAGTGCCTGAAAACGATGCGGAGTACTTGTTCGTGGTGGCGGACTTTTTGGCGGGCGTGCTTATATTCGCGACGATCGTCGGAAACATCGGGTCCATGATATCGAATATGAATTTAGCGCGAGTTGATTTTCAAAATCGAATGGACGGTGTGAAACAGTACATGGCGTTTAGAAAAGTGGGACGAGAGTTGGAAGCGCGCGTTATAAGATGGTTTGCGTATACGTGGGCGGAAAGTGGCGCTTTGGACGAGGAACGAGTACTATCGGCTCTACCAGATAAGCTAAAGGCGGAAATTGCAATTAGAGTGCATCTAGATACGATAAAGCAAGTTCGAATCTTTCAAGATTGTGAACCCGGATTACTGGAAGCTCTTGTACTTAAGCTCCGTTTACAGGTAGGTTTTCAATTTGATGGAATCTTTTTCAATACACATAAAATTGACACTATTGCATTACACTTTATTAATTTATAGTGAAAACCAAGTAACCTCCCTATAATTCGTTATAAAAATAAGTCCATAGTTTTAAGATAACAGATTGTAGGGATTATTGGAAGTTTACATGAAGCAAAAAATGTTAGCAGGTCAGCCGTAGCTGTAAGTTTTCTTTTTAAAGTACCTCGTACCTTCATTTAGAGAATTACTTCCAGCTATTCGAATATTAAACTAGGTACAGAGATGCATTTGTCGGCAATCGCCAGACATTTTCATTTTCTGTTGGTTTGCACCCCTATAGTATTTAAGAGAGTATAGACCTTCCATCGTATTTTGATTTCTTTGTATACTGTTTGTGCTTTTCTGCCAGATTTACGATTTTGGTCGTTTACCACTTTCCATATATTTTTCTGTGCAAAAATTGGCTGATTTTGATAACAAATGTGTATACCGGGTGATCGAAAAGTAGTGCGGACAATTTGAATTTTCCGTAAAACTAAATATTTATAACGTTGATAACATACCAAATGTCATTTATGTAAAAGCAGTGGTGGATCAATTTAATCACTAATACATAAATAAACTACCTTCTAAACATGTTTGCCCATTCCTTAAGTAAAAAATATTAAAAACTTAAAGCGCCCATTTTAAACTGTCTGCAGTTCTTTTTGATCACCCGATACAGTCTCAAATAAGAATGAACACTGAACAGCATGGAGAAATCAGACACCATAAGTACTAACACAGTCGGTTAATATAGAAGAAAGTTGCGCATTTTAGAGCTTTATTAGGTATGTCACTTAAAGGAACCATAATCGTTATTTGTGTACCAAGGCCGTAAAAGTGATCTTTTTTGGCCGAAGCTGCTGTTTGTGGCCGAGGCGGCAGCCGAGGCCGCAATTCAGGTGAGGTCTAACAAATCACTTTTGGCCAAGGTGCATACAACATTTTTTAGGCGATCATTAAAAAAGAATTCAAAAATTTGCTCATAAACATATTTTTTCTGAAAATCATAGTTATCTTAGACAATTAAAAACAAAGCATTTCCTGTCGTATGTAATTATAATTAGCATCTTTGCGTGTGTTTTGTGCGTATCAAAATGGGTGATAGCGACAGTTCAGAGACCCCAAATGAAATTTTGTAAGCTGCAAGCGTTGCGACCCTAAGTCATATATGATATAAGAGCAGGCGTTTGAGAGTAAAAGGTGGTACAATTGCAACTTCCTCCGTTGCACAAGATTTTAATAATGTCAAATGCAATACGTCCTTCGTAACTGTGGCTTCCAAGATCTTATAGTTAACATGCTGTACAATTATTAGAAACCTGATTACCTACTTTGATGGTAGGTATAGGTAGCAACTTGTGTTCTCGGTTAATTGCTGGTGATTCTTCGTATAATAATGTAAGCAATAACATCTTCGTCATATTTTGGTTGTACACTTCAAAAAGGTCTGCAAGCAGCAAAGATTGAAACGTCAAACTATACCTAATTTTAAATGTGAACATTGTGATTATGCAAAATAGTGTGAAACATTCCTACAAGTCCGAAAATGAAAAAACTCACGTGGATGACCCAATCCTTGATGGGGCTAGACCCGATAGACGCTTTGTATCAAACAGATTACTGTTTCTCACACAATGAAATAGGGAATTTTTGGCTTCGCCACCAATTAATTTGGTAGTGGTGAAAGTTCTCATTAGACAAAATTCTAATTATCCAGCATGTATTACACTAAACAAGACTCTATTGCATTGTTTATTACTTGTTATCAATTAAATCGGGTTCGTTGCCGTACCAATAAATTATTTCGCGTTTCGAAGATTTATTTGAACTGATATACATCCATTCCACTTTAGTTTACTGTCGTGAAATGAATACAGACAACGTAAAGGGACGTACGTCGCACAAGATATTTATCAACAATGTATCACAGTCGACAATCAATGTAAGTCAAGCAATTTGTAATTAAAGAACGGATTTTTTTCTTTATTTGTGTAAAATTACCTACCCCCGGTATTAAACTAGCTTGTATTGGATATCCATATTAGTCCCAAAGATTTGGTCTGGTCGTAGCTGTTGAACTCTGCTTACATTGGAATGTTGGTGAGTATCTCTTCTTTATTGGCGGCTCATTTAAGCGCCTGGAATCCTCCTTTTTGTAATTGGACTACTTGATGTATGCTTTTGGCACCAAATAAGATGTCGTCTCCGTAGGAGTTCTCTAATGTGACTCGGGCTGCATTTGGATAGTCATCTTTTTCGTCTTCAGCTAATTGTTGTAGTTTTCCTATCCCTAGATATAGAGCTGCTGCTGTTCCATAAGTTACTGTTGTACACTTCCTCTCCAGTGATAACGATCTGGCCACCGCTAGTGATCGCGAGGGCCCGAATTTTATCGGACTCTCCGTGAATGGAATCTTGACCGTGTATCTTCCATTTAAAATGGGTGTAGTGGTTGACTTGTCTTCTGCATCGATCCCATTTGCCAGTGTCGCATCTTCCATTTCGCAGTATTCGGATATTTGGTTTTTGTCTTAGATTGTTGGTGCCATACCAAATATTCGACTGCCTTGGTTGGTACCATATTTTGTTTGCTCGGATACCACCGAGCCAAATTCGGTTTTCATGACCCCACGACATCAGTATCATCTTGACATATTTCCCTGCTCCCAGAAACACATCAAATGACCTTGACGTGGCCATCGTAAGATCAGCTAAGGACACGTCCTTCTATGGATCTTTGTTCATCCCAAATGATGCCAGTGGTAGATTTTCGTATGTCTGTGAGAATGATCAGTTTTGTTGTTAATTTGTACTCATTTGCCCTGCCTGTAGCTGGTTATCTTAGTTTTTGCATTTGTACGGTCGCATCCATCTATTCCCGATACCATCGTATTCGCTTTTTTGCCTTAGGAGGTTTACTTGCTGTGTCACCTGTTCTGTGATAAACAAGGCTTGTGATCCAGACTCCACTCTTAATACTCTTAATAATTGCGGTATGGCCGTGATGTCTTGTGCTTGCACAATTGCTGTTGCTAGTAGTACTTCCTGGTTTTCCTCTTGAGTTTGGATGTTTTGTTTTGATACTGTGGCGTGTGATGTCCTTGTTCTACGTTGTGGTGTCTGCTCTGTTGCTTTACTGGGTTGGTGAAGTAAAGTATGATGTGGATAACCGTATTCTGTACACTTTTACGCTGAGTAATATTTTGCCTCGTAGTTGTGTTCTAAACATCTAAAACATAATTTCCTTTCTTTTACTTCTTTATTTCTCTCTTCCCCTCTAAACTTTGGGCAGTTCTCAAAGCGATTATGCTGTTTGCAGTAGTAGCACGATATGGATGACGTGTTCCTCCAGCTGGTCCTAGAGATGGGATCATCTATTTCATTACAGTTCCTTGATCCCATTGATCCTAGCGACTGAAATCTCATTTGCATGAACTGCATCACTTCTCTTAGTTTGGGATTTCGTTTAGCTGTTTTAGTAACGGTTTAAGACTCGGACGCTAGTCTCACAGGTTGTGAGTTCGAATCCCACAACTTGCCAGTTTTTAGTGGTACAGAAAATCTTCTGACTACCATGCTTCGGAGGGCACGTACAGCTAGCGATCCCGGCAGTCATACCACGAGTGCCGTTAGGTCACACAGACGGCTGTTGATGCGACCTGAAAACGTCTGTACCTAGGGAATGACACCCATACGATACAACAACAGTGACTGTTTAAACAACCTGTTGCATTCTGCGTCCCATTTTCTTGTCATGGTATTAGTTACCATTGCACCCCATGACAATGTACCTGGATTTCTGATTGTCAGTAGAAATTCATGTATGATGTCATGGAGCCGTCTCAATTGCCATCCATTTTATTTCGCCAGTCAGGATTCTGTCTTATAACTTATTTACCATTAATCTTTTATTACTACCCCTGCTTTGGAGTATTCGAATGGATCAATTTCTCGAGCAAGTCGCGGAAGGGAGCCCAATTTTAATATCCACTTCGGTACGTTGGTAACTATTTTAGGCAACTGAACGTTGGTCGCCGCTTTTACCTTTGCATTCTTGGTATGGTGTCGTAATCATATTCCAATTTCGTTACTGGATCCTCTCCAAAATATGGATGAGAGAAGCTTACCTCATTTGCCCGAATGTCCACTTCAAGCTCGCACATTAGGTCCCACTACTTCTCGGCATTGGTGCGCAGTGTGTTTCACACCGCCTTGAATTCTGTTCCATTATTTCCTCTTCCATCTGGAGCAGTGTCTCTGCAAACTGCCTCAGACGAACTTCCTGTTTTTTGATCCGAAGCGCTTTTTCCTTATCCATTTCTTCATCGTTTTCTCCTGTTTTCCGGTCCATATAAAAAACATGAAGTTGATGATGGTTTCTCAAAGACGACACGTTACACTGAAAATCTGTGGGCACCATCTTCTAGAGCTTAAAAAGTGTCTATGTATACCTAGTGTTATTTGTTTTTTGATATCTTTTCAAACAGGTTTACACAAAAATAAAAACGAATATTATTATTTTCGGTATCTTTCAATATCTTCGGAACATCACTTTACCTAAGCCCTAAAAATACGCAGCTTTTTTTAATTGAACCCACTGTGTATCTCTTATGGTTCCGGATTTACCCATGCTGTTCATTCTTATCTAGGACACACTGTATACCGTCACGGCCAACTGCAAACAAATTGTCCTAATGCAACGATTCTAAGGTTTATACTTACCTTGGAGAATAGTTGCATTAGGACAATTTGTTTGCAGTTGGCGGTGACGATATACAGTGTGTCCAAGACATAAACAGAAGCAGTGGTGTACTCAAAATGCTATTTGCGATGATTGAGGCAGGAATCCCAATGTAAATATCCTTCCGGTCGCTCCCGAAATATCGATTCAAGACTAACGCTTAATTTGGGCACTTTTGATATATTCTGATATTCTAGTACATACGTTCATTGTTTAAAATATAAAATATTGTGTACTTATTGACCAGCGAGTTGTAGGTTGCGTGTTGGATACACAAAAAAATTACTGCTCCATGATAAGAAAACAGTTATTGCTTTCAAAATAGTGTCGTTATCTATCAGTTTGTATAGGTACCCATACATTCAGACAATGCGCAGACATTTCCCTGGAAATGAAATTAATTTCTGTATTGTTTGGTCTATGCGTGAGGGACTGCTGTGCGCAATTTAAGAGGTGGGGTTGCAAGTGATTGATGACCATTGCACGCAAACAAATTTAAGTAATTATGTTTACCAACAATGTACACACACCGACTAATAACATCGTATTGATCTGCAGGTATTTTCGCCTGGGGATTACATATGCAGAAAGGGGGACGTCGGCAAGGAAATGTACATCGTCAAACGTGGCCGCCTTCAAGTCGTAGCCGACGACGGGAACACAGTTTGGGTGACCCTAGGCGCCGGTTCCGTCTTTGGGGAAGTGAGTGTCTTGGATATTCCTGGAAATAAGACTGGAAATAGACGGACGGCGAATGTGAGATCGACGGGTTATTCGGATCTTTTTTGTTTAGGAAAAGATGATCTATGGGATGCTTTAGATGATTATCCAGAGGCAAGTGCAAACATTTTATACTCGTATACTTATGTTATTATTTCAAACATTAATTGTCTAATCAAAGTATAACTATGCTGTAACTTGGGCCTAGACAATGCATTGAGATTACAACCAAGCTTTCACTTATCCCATACTTTCAGCCGTATGTTGGCGATAGCTTGATAAATGTTGGTACTAATGACCTAAATTGTTGCTGGTGGGCATAGATGTGGATGTATCCCTAAACAAACTATTAGAGGGGTGTTAAATCACATGATTTTGATGTTAATATATATACAGCGAGGACTTTAAATATTGGCTAGTCAATTAATGTACTACTATATAATAGAATACTAGAAATAACAGCCCCTGCTCATTCAAGTTTTAACTTAAAAATTACACTACAAGATAATTATGATCATAATGATAAATTATAATTATTCTAACAAAATTAATAAAATAACAACATTATGTACTAATTATTTTGTTATGTTTACGCCATCTTTTTTGCTTCGGTTCATGTTTTCCCCCTTGACTCTAAAATTTTGGTGATTATCTTGTACCATGTTTCTTTTGGTCTTCCTCTTTTCCGATTATATTTGGTCCTCTTGCTTACCACACATATCAAATAAAGATGTTAAAAAGGGTTTAGCTGAAGCCTCCTCCTTGTCTTAGTCCTTGTGTTGTTGTGAACACCTTGTTTCTCCAAATGACATAGTTCTTTGTTGTTTATCATCTTTATCATAGACTCCTCTTCGGTGTAGGCTTTGCCATTTTTCTCTGGGAACGATGTCAAACGCTTTGATCAATCAATAAACGCTATATATCCTTCTCCCGTTTACCCTTTCTTTTCCAATATTTGCTTGATTGCGTTCACATTCTGAAACCACTTTGTGCTTTGTTTAGTGTTTGTTCTGTCCTTTCTTCTACCTTTTTATTTATCAGCTGCTCATAGATCTTACCGCGATTGTGCTCAATAGCGTTATTCCTCGACACGCTTTACAATTTCTACTGTAATTCCATCGTGTCCCGGTGATTTGTGTTTTTAAGTAATTTGATGGCATCACTTAGTTCTTCTATTGATATCGGTTGGGTTGTTTTTTCAACCAATGCAGTATTCTGTTCCTTTATGAGTTCTCTGCTCTCATCCACCCCGCTTAACAGATCGCAATCCCATCTTCCCATTATTTCTTCTTCATTTCTTAGGACCACACCTTCGTTGTTTTTCATTTCAGTAGGGTCGTGTGGTTTTTTGCCTTTTTTTAAATTTTTCAGTACTTTGTAGAATAGCTTTTGGTTACCCTTATTAATGGTTTCCAGTTTTTCTCCAAATACTCCACGCTGTTTGTTTTGCTCCTATTATTGTCTCTTTTACCAATTTTCTTCGTTCTTTGTATCCTTCATAATTTTCTTCGCTTTTGTTTGCTAGATACTTCTGCCACTTTTCTTTCTTGATCTTGATTTTTTGCTTTATTTCTGTACTCCACCAAGATGTTTGTTTTCGTTTGTTGTTTATCTTCCATAGATCCTCTATACGTTTTATCTTGTTTCGTTCCTTTTACCCTTGCTACGACTAGATAGTGGTCGCTGCTTATTTCCGGTCGTCGCCTTACCCTTACGTCAAGTACCTTATTCTTCTGTGTTTTCTCCACGGTTATGTAGTCTATGATGAACTTTTCATTTCGACTTGGTTCTACTCTGGTATACTTGTGTATTTCTTTACGTAGATAGAAAGTGTTGGTAATTATAATATTGTGCATTTAAGCCTTTTCCCATTGTTATTTCTATTGTCTTCTCCATAGCGGCCTATAATTGTTGGGTAGACTGAGTCCTTTTTACCGACTCTTCCATTAAGACCTCCTAAGATATATATGTCTCTCCGATATCCTTCTAGAACCTTCCTCTCTGCTTTCTCATCTTCATTTGGGCCATAAACTATGACTATTGTACGTTGTTCTGTATTTTTCATTTCCATCTCCACTGTCATTATTCTTTCTGTTACTACTTACTGTCCATTTATGTATTTCTTCTTTTAAATTTCGGTTTATTATGCACCCTACTCCTGCCGACATCTTTCTCGTTTTCCTGTAGTCCACTGTATATTAATATGTGTCCATTTCCTATATCCAAATTTCCCTTGTTCTTTTTCTTTGTCTCCGTAATTCCATGCAAGCATGTCTATCCTAGCTCTTTCAAATTCTTCTATTAATTCGATTTCCTTTCCATTCTTACTACTGATATTCCATGTTCCAATTCTCCAGTTTAGCTCGCTTTCTTTCATATCATAGCCGTTTTCGTCGCCTTGTTTCGTTTTCTTGTGTTTGGGTTTAGTTTTTTGGTGTAGAAGTTCGTGTCGCTTTTCTATTTTGTTCTAGATAGGAATCTACCACAGGTGATTTTTAGATTTTTTCCGGAGCTATTATCGTTTTCATTTGGCGTGTAACTTATTTTCTCAAAAAACAACCATTTCGAATAAATTGTTACCGCGAGAAGTACCGCATAACCTGAGGCTACAGACGGTCGATTTTAGAATACTCGGATACGCCAAAGTAGAACTCCATCGGTTAAAGTGGATTTCGAGCTATATTCCCTACTAAATGGCGCCATTTCCTATACGAGACCCAGAAAAAATTTTCGATCTTTCCGATTCATTGATATTGAGGTTGCACGAGTGAAGAATATATTTTAGCCTTGCTGTATGTTTAAGGCAGGTACTACTGTGCGATCAAATGTATTCAAAACAGTAAAGAGCCTATTACTTTAAGGATGTTGCAATTTTCCTCTGGATAATTTTAATTTAAGAAAGAGAAAATTCTTAAAGATCCGGTCACCTACTTTACCAACTTTACGTGGGCCCCTCTTAGGGGAATTTAATTTTTCAATGAAATTATTACTTAATTAAGAGAATCTTCCAGGTGAGTGTAAATAGTTAGTAGAAGGACTAATAACCCTTTTGATTTTTTGCCAAAGAAATTTCAGAGTTTAGTTAGACAGCCTTACTACCTGAACTGTACTAAAATTAACATTTTTTATTCAATTCTTACGAAGCTCTGGTATCTGAATCCACAGTTTGAATCTTTTTCAATATATGCCAACATTTTGAAATTTAAATTATTTTTTTTATTCGCGACCAGTTCAAGTAAATCAGAAATGCGAAGATTCTCATCCTTCAAGTATAAGCAAAATAAGATCCTTTCCCCTAGGCAGCTTTGTTTAAAAATGTTTTATTCTGTAACCGAATGTAGCTCATTCCATGAAATTTTAGTAATGGAACTTATAAAATCAGTACTACCATAATTTGCTGCCCTTTTTAGGTTAACCCAATTTTGTTTACAATTAATTGCGTTTAAATAACCACAATTTCCGCTAGAGTTTAACTAACTAAAACCATTTTATCACATCTAAGTTTAATCTTTGAACATAAATATTCAAAGGTTTAATTGAAACTTGAAGTTTCCCTCAATATTTTTTCTGAGGAACACTTGCTTCCGTTATTGAACGTTCTTTTATTCTAAACCGTGATAAAATCTGGTATGTAAATGAGTCCTAAAGCTTGAAGGAAGGGGGATGGAATGATGAGAATATTGATTTCTTACACCTTATAGGCTTACCGAATTACCAGCATTTAAATAATTTATTGACGAAAATATGATAGCTTATAAGTATTCCGTTTTTGATAAGAAACCAAATTGCAGAAGCGTAATGGTACAACTTTAAAACGATGTTTAAAGAAAACGTAAAGCCTCTTAAAAGTATTATTATAAGTTAGGTACTTCTCGCGTGGGGAATATTTAAATATCTCTCGGAGAGCAATATGTTTGCCATGAAGTTGTACAGCCGGAAAATAAGTTTGGTAACGGAGGAGGTTATTAAAGTTAGGAAAACGTCGCTTCGTCTTCTCGTTATATGTACGTGATCTAAAATTTCACAACACATTAGCAGCTATCGAGATTATACATATTTTCAGCGCTCTCGTTTGGGATGGGTTGGAAAATCTCTGCTCAATGTTCCATGCCCTCCTATTACTTTAAATGAAAAATAATCTGAACTACCCTCTACATACCGCCAGTACATGCGGTAATTGCAGTATGAGGTTATCATGTTTCATAATAAAAGAGCAACCCCGTTGGATACGGGTTTCGGTTAGAACAGCGTGATCACGTCAGAATATATAAAGAGCTCACATTGTATTAGGAATTCAATTTTCGTCAATATGGAAATTCGGGATCCACGTTATGCATAAGCAAGTATACATTTATTTGTTTTTTTCTTATAATAAGATATTAAAACTCTTCCAACTGCCCCATTGCACATTACACTTCCAGCATCTGCTACAAAGTAAATTCCGAATATTGATCTAAATTAAAAGTTTGGGTCTCCCTCAACTTTCGAAAATTGCAAAGACTTTATTACACAAAAATTTGATCAACACTTGAAATAAATCTTGGGTACGCGAAGAAAGTTCTGACATGAATACTCTATCCGGATCGCCCAATTGGTTCTAGTAGACACACAATTATTTGATTGACAAGTACAACAATTTATTCCGAAACACATTAAATGATGAAATTAAAATAAAATATGAACATTTTAAACAAATTACGCCGCACGCAGGCGTTCCATAATTAAAAAACGAAAATAGCTTAAGATGAGTTAGTTTTTTTCTCTTTTAAATAATCCATATAATCTGGTCGTGAATGGTTTGCGATATTCAGACGCGCTCAAAAAAACTCGCTGACTGTTTCAGGAAACTTCACTTTATCTCTAAAAAAACTGGACTCAATAACTCGAACTAGCTTGATAAATAAGATGAAAAGTATTCTCGTGGAATACTCTGACGGTAGAAACTTTTAACTACTTTGTTGATTCACACACTCGTTCTGAATACGGACAAACCGTTTAAAAAAACTTTCTACAAACTCCACTAGACGATGACTTAAATCCTTTATTAATACTGCTGAAATTCTTTTTCACAGTTTATTTCGAAACTGACCAACTGCGTCTTCAACAAATTGAAAGGGCCTGTAACTGAGCGTAAACAAATTTACACGCTCATTTCACCGTCTCGAACTAAAAACAGCAGCAATGTTACCTCGTTTCACGTATTTAAGGGAACACCATTTCCATTATGGCACAATCTCCCTCCTCCGCTATTTACAAATAATGCGCAATTACAATTAGATCACTTACTCCGAAAATAATACGTTGTACATCGTTGACCACCTGCATATCTTGTTATCAGCACCAGAACACGTGCGTTAATTAAATTACATCCGATAACGCTCCTTATCGGAAACACTCAAATAAAACCTTTTATAAAAATAAGAAAACTTGACTAGATGTCTCTTACTTAATGCGTCGTATGCAAATCGAATAACTCACACAAATGGTACTTCTAGAAAAAATTATGCAATTACAAACCAAACCAAAAGGAAAAATAACACTGAGCCCCCAACTCAAGTAAAACGGACCTATTCTGTGTTTGTTCGTGAATAATCTTTCCGATTTACACTTAAAAAAATTGAATTACTTCTCATATACAGGGTGTTCCGTTATTACTGTTAGTTTTTATTCTGAAATAAGGTCTACGTGAAGGTATTTACACGTCACTACTCTGGGGCAAATTTACCGAGAGTAAAAAGTAAAAATGCAGCGATACGTTTCAAAATGTTTCAGTTTAATAACGGAAAACTTTAGAGGGCCATTTGGGCTTCGTGAAATGGCTTCACAATTTTATTTTCAAAGTTCATTTTTTATAAACAATATAGGCAACTTTACAGCATAGTGATAGGTTTCTTTTACACAAATGTCTTCGTCAGAATAACATTGTTACAACGAGATTAATTTAAAAATTATAATTTTGAGTTGACTAGGATGAGTCTCCTCAAAAATCGTTATTTACAACGATTTCATTAGGTCATTATATAATGTTACTCTTACGTTTAATTTTATGTACTTATCTTTTAAAGGCCAGAGCGAATTTAACGGAACGAGGATGCCAGATACTACGTAAAGATGGTTTACTCGATGAAGATGTGTTCAAAAAGTCGCAAATCACACGCGATTCTATGGAAGAGAGTATACAACGATTGGAAGCGACCGTCGATATTCTACAGACCAGACTCGCCCGACTTATTGGAGAGTTTGGTGCTAGCCAGGCGAAATTAAAGCAGCGACTGACAAAAATTGAGTTAAGGTAATTAAGTACACTCCAGTGCTAACGGGCACGTACCTAGCTTCAGAAAGTTTTGTTTTAATTTGTAACCATTTCCGGCGTAATGGCCGACAAATCGTAAGATTAGATACCCCGGTGTGAATTCTCAGTCGAAGCCAAAAACGTCTCTCTGACAGAATTAATGCATTTTACATTGCTTTTTGCTGGCGAAGGTTATCCAAATTGGACTAGTAATAATTTATCTTATCTCATACCGGTTTTGTGCGTCTTTCACCCTATAATTCAGATGATTGTGTTAACAAAGAGCTTTAGTTTTTGTCGTAGGAACCCATCCGGCCGTTATTGTAAAAATTCCCACTGGTTTGGATCAATAAGGGTTAATAATCTTATTAGGAGGAACTGGCAGAAATTCATACAGCTACCCGTAAGGGTTTGACATAAAACTACGGATTTATAGTCTGTCATCGTCTGCCCTTTTTACATTCGTATATTGAGAAGGAAAATTTATATATTTATAGGTAACGAATTGGATGTTCGAGATCAGAGGCATTAACCCAAATGATATAATCCACTTTATCATTACAGAAAGGATAATCCTATTTATTGGTATTCCATAGGAACATTTTGTATTTACTACTTATAACTGTTGATATATAGTTGACTTGCACAAGCTATTCAGTTTAAAATGATCCATACAAAGAGATCGCCAATAATTTGTTCCATTTAAGTCAGCTTTACACCTTCACATTGGCACTTTATTGGATAATCATTTTTTCTAACTGAAGTTTATTTATTTATGTGAATTTAAATAGAACTCCGATACTCAAGAATAGAACACAATTTAATGTATTTTTGTGAACGAAGTTAACCAAAATATGTCACGATCGTGATGTGTCCACTGTTGGAAAGCGATTTTATTTACTTAATACGTTTTCCAGAAAAAGGTTCTTGTAAAATGCCCTCGATACAAGCCCAACCATAATTTGTTTAAAGTTATCTATGTTGTGTATAGAATATATTAATAATGTTTATGTATTAATAATAATCATCATCCCAGGAGCCTCTTACGCTATTCAATTGTTTATATGGACTTTACTACGTGACCCAAAAAAACTGAAATTATGAAGACAACACTATATACCGCTTGAAAGAAAAACAAAGATAAAACATAGGTTTTTATACATTCTAGATAAATATTAGCATTGGAAATGCTTATGTTTGGTATGGGTATGAAGTTGCCAGTTTCGTCAAGCAGAAAAGAAGACAGTGGTGTCGCATCAAGTGAAGATTGTACCGTACTCGACTGCAATCGGTAGATTCAGGAAACGGATACTGTCGATACATCAGTGCGCAAGGGTTTTGTTAATTCGAATCTATACTCTATTCATTTCAAGAAGGTATTGGTAGAAAGCAAAGGGACTGTTTTACCTTTACTGTGATTGCTTAAAACATGAGACAGTATTACCCTGAAAAATAAATCGAATGACTAATTTTGTTTGTTGGTAGTTTCGGTTACGAACTAAACTCTCGAACTGTCATTGACTGTCAGTTTCAAAGGCCCAAGCGTGAAATTGTTTGATTTATATTTATATTTTTCAAATTTTGTGCCGTTTTATATTTTTTCTTAACGGAGCTGTTAACTCATTTGTTTCGATAAAAAAACAAAGACATTTGTCTTGATTAAATTAGTTAATTTAACGGAACTGTTAAACCCTGATTAAGCTAGAATTCGTATGCACAAAAAAGAATTAGCATTAACGGTGCCGTCAAGCAGCCTCTAATCATGGCAAAATTTAACCCGTGCTCGTCGACTGATTAAACTGACAGTTAGTTCATAATTTTCGATTTGTGCTTGTGAAAAGTAATTTTTATAGAATAATTAGGCCTATTCTAATAGTTTTTAACATCACTTTATTTAAATAGAAAATATATTCATTTCTTTAATTGACTCGCGTAAACACGTTTTCTATTCTAATTCTTCTCCATGAGGAGAGTGTAGTATTCCAGTCGAGCATTCTTCCACTTTTGAAGGTGGTAATTTTTTTTAAATTGCTGCAAACTGACCATTATTTTGCATTTGGGGTCTCCGTTTTGGAGCAATAATTCCACGTTTTGGAGTACATTGACGGGCAGGTGTGGAAGAAAATGAAAAGGATAGGTATTTTGAGCGGGCGGGAGGTAAGCAATAACGACTAGCCATCTCGCAATTTCAAGATTTGTAACATAATAAGAGGATTTACCATAACACTCATTATCGATAGTACTTGTTGTGCCGGTGATGCTGCTTTCGATTCCTCCTCCAGTTTTCGTTCTCCCTACCTTGGAAATAAGAGGTTACTTTTTCACACTTTTTGGCAAGTAAACCTTTCTTTCTAAAAACGTACCAATAATTATACACCCTAATGAATTTATAAACATTAATTAAACATTGGTTACAATGCTCGATGCATCCGCTTTTCTCGCATTTCGTTTTATGATATCATAAAAGTGTGAAGCTTACTGGTTTTTTGGTGATTGATTCGGAAATGAAATCTTCTGTGACGAACTCGCATGGGCTTGATGTTTCAGAAATGAGGAAGTATCTAAGAGCTCGTCACTCTGGATTCTGGTTTATATGTTCCTTACTATAAAATGGAAAAAAATGAGTACCTAGCTATTCGGAATTGATATAAGACTGAAGGCATGCAGCATCGAGAGGTATAAAGGTGAGAAACTTTATCAGAAGTGCCTAATTTATGATTTTAGCTACTGGAATAAATTATTCTAGCAATTAAAAATATATGTTGGAGTAAGCTCCACTTTCAAAAAATTAAGCACTCAATGGAAGTTTAACCGAAATTTTTATTGAACGAACTCAGGACAGTTTCTAAGTTACTATAATAAGAAGGTAATATTTGCTTATGATTCACTCAATTATTTGCAGTAAATGATCTCTCAGATACTACGGTAAAGTTTTGGCCACGGATCTTTTTTTCCATTGTTAACATAAACATTGACTATTAAATTACAGATAACAAAAAAGGAGAGCCTTCTATACGATCCAAAAAAATCACACAGTTCCATAAAAGTACAACGTTGCCGGCGCCAATTTTTACCAAATATTTAATCAATACTTTATCACCTTGGTTAGTTAATCAAGGAGTTTTTTTGTTTTGTGCATACCAATCTAATTCAATCAAAGGTTTAATTTAATCATACTGATTAACTAACGGCCTGATTATTTATTGTTTGTGCATTCGGCCTTTAGTATTTAGAAAGTTTACGTTTGCGACACGAGCGAACTTGCGAGCGCGTGGAGCAAATGATTCCGTGTTAATATGGGTTATTATTATGATTTTTCTTTTTCTTTTATTTGACATCGGGCTTTAACAGCTAGGTCATATCGCCCATTACATGTATATGTTACATTTTAAATGCGATTAATTAATTATTTTGTTATGTACAGAAATTTGATGAGATTGTTGACTGTTGCATGGTCATTGTTGAGGATTTCTTGGATGGAGTTGTTTAATCTACATTGTTATTCTTTCCTGTTGAAATGTTTGGCACTCAAGTAAAAGATGTTCTACAGTTACATATGGCTTTATAGGTAATACGGTTATCATTTCCAATGTCACCGATGGTTGCAGGGGTTGCGAAATCTGTGAATTTTTATACTATCAATTAAATCAGCCGTACAACTATAAACAATTTGCCGTGCTACATAATCACCTAAATAGTATGGTTTTTGTCTAATTCTTTTATTTTTCAATAATTTGGTTGTTTTCCTTTCACACCTTGCAGCATTACACTATTTTCGTACCTATCTTAAATCTTTCGTGCATTTCACTGAATTTCGATTACTGCTTTCGCATATTTTTTTACTAATTGCGGTATAAGATGAAAGCAATATGTAAGTGCAAGGATTTTTTATGTAGGTATACAGGGTGTGAGTCAACGATTGCGCGGAGTAACTTAATGCCTTGAAGAAGATTTTTCGATAGAGTGCTTTTGTATTATGATATTGAATATTCTCCACATTTTAAAAATATTTGGAATTATACAAGGTGCCAAAATTGTAAATTTTTATATATGGAACCCCTTGTATTTGAATGCATTTTTCAATTCTACGTACGACTTTTTTTATTATAACTATGATTAAGATCCGAAACACTAGTGGTTTTAAAGATAATTCGATTTGTAAGAAAAAATTGGCATTTGCAAGCGTCAGTATAATATTGTCAAAATTATTACTTACATTTTAATTCCTGGTTCTGTATCTTTTATCCTGGGTAAAGTCAAATAAATACATCTGCTATGAAATATTAAAAAAAAATAGCTTAGAGGCTGTTTTTTTTGTAGGTCCAAACTTCATACTAAAAAATCTCACATTTTTTAAATGGAACACCCTGTATATTTCTCTTGTCTCTTTTAGCTCCGTCAAAAACCTTCAACTTTTGATAATAATGTCTTATACCTATCTCTGATAGTTTCGAAATATCTTGGTTTTCCTGGTTTTTATATTCTAATCTTAAAGAAGATGTAATTTACATAATAACGAGGTGGCCACGCAAAAAAAGGCATTTTTTGCCTATCTCATCCAAAACTAAAATAATATCGATTCGATTCATCACGAACTACGATTAAAATACAAAAAACCGTTGATATAACGGGTGTCTTATTTTCATTCTTCTGTTATCATAGTTCGTTGAAAAGAAAATTAAAAATTTTATTATGTAATCTAAAAATCCAGTATGGCGCCTATTTTTACTTTAGGAAGTTGGTAAATGTCCTCAAAAGTAGCCATTTTCAATTTTTTACATCAATTCTAAATTTAGCGTATCAAAGACAGTAACTTTTATATAAAACTTTTTTTATATTTCTTATACTTTCGATGATATAAGACATTCAAGAAAATGGCAAATTTTAGTTTTTTTGAATTTAGGTCCAAGCTAATGTAAACTTCCACATGCAAATTTTAAATAAGCATCTAAAACTACAAAACATTGTCCATTTAAGATAAGCAGAAAATAGTCATTGAATAAAATGCTTGCTTCACGAGCGTGATAATTAGTCAGGGTTTTGTTTTCAAACTGTTTGCAAAGAGAAAAACTATCTTTGGATGGGGCATGGGAGGACGATTGCGTATGTGTATGGCTAACACTCTCAACCTCGATCAACCTTGGAATCTGAAGACCATCGACATAAACAACCCGATAGGCAAGAACTCAAAGGCGGAGAGCGACATGGATGCTAGTAACTTATTTTTAAAGACGGTTCAAAGGGGGCATAATTGAAAATCAATTGTAGTACTCCCTTGCAATGTAAAAGGGAAGTCTCCCCGCAAATCGATTAGTACGTCAGAAGAGAACGGAATCGGTTACAATGAAATTCCAACAACAAAATAAGCGGAGTGACTACGATGTAGTGTTCAATTTGTAGGAAAAGGAATAACTCATGACGGAGATGTCTGAACAAAATATTGGACATTTCCTACTACCCTAGCCCAGTTTTCGACGCAGAAACCAAGTTTGAAGGCCCCGATTTTCAAGAAAGCACGGTGGGAGTATCGTCAGATTTTAGGAAGGAATTCCAAATGATAATGATATAATCGGTGAAGAAGACAAGCCATTCCAGAAGGATAGTAGCTGTCGGGAGTTGAAAATTGTCCATCACAAGTGAGTTGTCTTCGGTCTCAATAAATTGTAATGCCTGGTACCAGAATCAAATATCATTTGGTTTCACATCTGGATCCTTTTGCGCAGAAGATGAGAAATTGTTTTTGTGTGGATAACTTTCTCACTCCCATTTTATCGCTTAAAGAACATAAGAAATGCAAGGAAGGAGAAATGCCCCTACGGGAGCTGCTGAAACAGAGTCCTTAGAAATACCCAATGCAAATGGAAATTGTGATTCTCTTCCAGAAATGTGGGTTCTCGGCTGAAATAAATAGAGGAAACGGCAATTTACAATGCGTAATCAAGGATCCGAAGTTTGAGAAGGACGTTACGAAGAGATGTGTTCTCTACTCAATCCCCAGTCACAATCCAGGCAAAATTGCTACTTCAAGGAACCTTGCGTGGAAATGGACAATGGGAGGATAAGTTAATGGAAAAACAAAAAATGAATTACGTCTGTAGTCGTTGTCTGTACCTGCCCTCAAGGAAGTATTCATACCACGTCATTTGAAATAAAGAACACGTCTAGCCTTCAACTTTTGACACTTCTTGAGGAGTTTAAATAGCGGTGGAGGGAAAATGGTTACTTTCGAACGTAAGATTAGACGCGTTAGACTTGAATCACATTTATTCGGACGGAATCGGCCCTGAACAAATTTTAGCCGGTAAATGTCAATATCGATCTGCCGTCCGTTCCGGGCCGGTTATATCCGGTCCGGAATTTTTTCGATTTAAGAGTATTTACTTTGAATTTTGCAAGTATAAGCATATCTTGTCTAGTTTTATGAGCAATTTCAGACCAAATCAGCTGTAATGGAATGTTCTATGAGCGAAAGCTATTACAATTGAAAATGAATTCAGATGATGACAAAATGGCATTTTTTATACGATTTGACAGTATGCTAGCAGAATTATCAGCAATTAGCGAAAATGAAGTTATTCAGTAGAAAGCCTAATTATCTGTTGCTAGCCTTACCTGACAGCTATGAAAGCTTATTGCAACTGTTCATTTTACTAGTCTTGAGAATCGTACGATAGATTATGTCAAGCATCAGTTGATTGTGAAGAGTCAACGTCAGGCAAAAGCAATAGCAGGTGAATCATGGGAATCGAATTCGCTTGCAGTTGGTGGACAATCATAATGAGGTGGAAACAAAACTTTAATAAAGTATAATTACAAAGACAGTAAGTACCTTGCTATAGTAGCACTCGAAAACGTTCAACGGTCCCTCTTCTATTTGCATGTGTCTATTTAATCTTTATAGATAGGTACTCGTAATATTGCCTAATGAATTACTTTATATTTTTAAACTTCGAAAAATGATTTGCTAATGTGTGCTAATCCTACCTTCAACATCTCTTTTCAGGCCTATGGAAGGTGACCAGGAGCAGTCCTCCCCTAATTCCTGCAGGCGGCGTCTACGTTCGTACGAAGTCAGAAAACAATCGACGCCTCCCGCAATCACACGCAACAAGTCAATGTAATTTATAAGACCAACAATAGCATTATTTATTTAAAAGCAGGAGTAGATTATGGAATGTACTACCTACCTATAAGGAATTCGTTCATAGTGGTAGATTGTACAAAAAGGCAAGAAGACTGCTGTGATTCTTTACTTTAGTGAGTGCACTGGGGGGAAACAACCAATGTTTTTTGGGGTCTCAGGATTTAACAAAATGAAACAACTATACTTAATTAATACTGCTTACATGATTCTAGGTACTGAACACCAAAAACTTAGTGGCTATTGTTTCTGTAGTATGTGTTGTTTCTATAATTTTCTATTTAGAAAAAGCGCTTTGAAAAACGTGAGAGTAACATATCACTTTGTACTTGTATTCTTTTAGTAGGGCCTTTGTGAGTCAACAAAGAAAAGGCAATTTAAGTGTTACTTCGTTCGCAAAAAATGTCTACAGACCCATTCTGCAAATTTGTTTGGCGTTGAACACATTAACGTAAAACGAATTTTGCCTTACTTATTTCAATTGGGACACTAACTTATCAAGAAGCTAAAGGGTTATTGTATGATCGGATGTTTTAGTCGTTGTTACAAACATATCTATATCGTATATTTTATTAATTGTTCAATTATCATACTGAGAGTATTTTGTAATATGAAACTTTATGTTACATACTTGTACATGAAAAGTAGGTTAGTTTTACACCTGTATGGAGCCTTAATGTACTTGTGATAATCATCTAATTTTTTATGTAATGTAAATCTTTGCGTCTAAGTAGAATAAATTAATTCGTTGAAGTATCTATAAAACTAATCTTCTCTTGTTCAAGTAGCGGACGAGTTATAGTAAGCTAGATCTTCATGTACCAAGTTATAATAAACTTTATATAAAACAAGTATTTGAGTATATAAAGAAGGAAAAAAATAAAGATGGTAAGGTCTCAAAAGATTTTTTTTTTTTTTTTTATATAAAGGCTTTTCGGGGTCATGCCCATTTTGCCTACGATGTAGTTACCTCAAACTAGGGATAGACAATGGTTTTAACATTTCACGCACAGGGGCCGATCAGTGCGACTTTGTACCACACATAGGATGGCCACGGAAGGTTTAAATACATGTAAGGATATGGACACAGATGAATGTAACGGTTACAATACTATGGACGCACATAAAGTTACAGTTTTAGTTTAATTTCTCTTACATAATCAATGATGGCATCGTAGATTGGTTTACGGCAGCTATGTAGTAAGGTCGTGATATTTGTGGGAAATGCTACGCCTTTTTCGCTTAGCTTTTCTAATAGGTTCCTAATGTTGGCCTCACGCTTAACACAACTAAAAAACAGATGATTCAAGTCGCCCTGGGGATCTCCGCAATCGCAGTTTGGGGAGTCTAGGATACCAATGGGCCGGATATTTACCGTGCCCAAACTTTAACCTTGCTATGGTAGTATAATAGAATCTAGAAATCTGCATGTTTTTGTACCAGTGCTCTTTAACAAGGTTAGGATGAATGATGGAGTAGTGTGTTTTTTTAATTGAGTAAGCGGTTTTCCAGTAATTTTCCCATTGGAGATAAACAGTGTTTAATTTAATTAGTCGTACGACGTCAGACTTGGAGAGAACATTCGTCATGCATCGTCCATTTTCCACGCTATCTTTTGCTAAGGCATCAGCTGTCTCGTTGTGTTGAATGCCCACATGCCCCTTTACCCAGTATAGCTGTATTGTGCTCGACATTTTTCGAAGATGAATGATCTGCAGTGTAATCTCTTGTAATATAGGATCTAGTTTGTCATAGCTCGTCTTCGCCTTTATTGCTTGGAGGACTCCAAGGGAGTCTGAAAATATTATCGCGTGCCTGATCTTCCTTTCCACAGAATACTTTAGGGCTTCTAATATTGCGAACGCTTCAACGGTAAATATGGAGCATGACTTGCTTAGCTGAAATTTAGCCGAGTATGAATTTCGGCTGTCATAAAAAGCACAGCCGCAACCTTTCTCAGTTTTTGAACCGTCGGCAAAAATCAAGGTAGCTCGCGACAATTCATTTGTTATATTGTTAAACAGTTGTCTATCATGTTGAGCTATGCCATTGAATGGAGGATATATTATCTCAATTTCTTGCATAAAGTCCAGAAAACTAAAGTTATTTGGAATTGGTGGTGATCGAAGGTTATTTGGGGTTTCCTTTAGTAAGGCTGCTGTGAGAGGAGGAGATGGCTTTTTTCGCCAGTAGTCTGCAGTTTGGTCAAGGACGAGCAAATTGGATATCTTGACGATTATGTGGTTTAAATTGTTAGTTTTAAGTTTGATTATGTATTTCTCAGCAAGGAACTGTCTCCGGATATATAAGGGAGGCTCGTTTGCTTCAACTTGCATTGCTAGCGTCGGTGTAGATATCATTGCTCCCGTACATGTCCTTAGAGCTTTGTTTTGAATTATATCTAGACGTTTTAGTTGAGATTTGGGAGCGTTCCCATATAACAGGCAACCATAATCAAGACGTGCTCTGATGTAACTTTTATACATTAAAAGCGCTGTATGAATATCACAACCCCATCCCACCTTTGTTAACACTTTGAGTATGTTCAATGACTTTTCGCATTTTATTGTGAGGTAATTAATGTGTTCGTTCCATTTTAACTTGTTGTTGATAATCAATCCCAGATATCTGATAGACGTCCGTAGATTATATTCGACATTATCCAATCTGATGAAACCGGTAGGAATGTTCCTCTGTCTAGCAAACAGCACTACAGAAGACTTTTCTTTGCTCACTTCAAAGCCGTTATGTAAGAACCACTTATTTGATTCACTCACCGCAGTAGACATCTTGGCAACAACGCCATTTAACTCTTTGTCAGCAGCTAATAGGCATATGTCATCTGCATACTGTATGACCGTTACTTTGTTTCTAAATTGTTCGTGGATGTCGTGCGTATATACATTAAACAAGATAGGACTTAACGTTGAACCTTGTGGCAGTCCTAACGCTATTGTTCTGGGTCCTAAGAGGGTATTGTTGGGTGTTTTCAGATATATGGTTCTGTTTCTGAACAGGTTTGATATAATCCCAGCTGCTTTCTTAGGAATCCCGATTTTACACATTTTTTCCTCCAGTATGTCTAGGTCAACGTGATTGTATGCATCTTTAATGTCTAGAAAGAGGCCGCCCGTGTAATACTGGTGTGATAGATTAGTCTGAATTTCCGTGATTAGGTCAGATAACGCTTCCATGGTACCTTTATTTCTCCGAAATCCGTATTGCCTGGGTGGTAACGCAGGTGTTCCTTCTAACCACCATTCGATCCTCGTTTTGATCATTCGTTCGAACGTTTTATACAAACACGATAGCAGGGAAATAGGGCGATATGATTTGAATTCGTTAGGGTTCTTGTTGGCCTTTAAAATAGGTGTCACCACAACTACTTTGAAGGATGCTACTTCTTGACCGTCACACACAAATGTTATACGCTGAACAAGTAATTTCTTACAACACCCCTGGACACAATACGCTATCAGTCCGTAAAAGGTAACATTTATCGGCCCGGAGCTGTATTTTTGTAGTTTTTAAAGGCCCTGTTGAGTTCAATATCGCTAAGAATGGGTTTAAGTAAAGGGTTGGTCGTTCTGGAACCGAAAAACTTCTATTGGAACGTGCCATTTGCTAAACAGAATGGTGGACTCATTGCGATCTAGGAATTATTACCATACAACTGTGGCTATGGCAGATCTGTTTTAAAGCCGAAACCGGTTTAGTCCTTTTAAAATCTATTCCACAACACATTAGGAGGACGGGGTATTCCTTAGATTTTAATTTTGCTACAAAAATTTTGCCGACTCTCCCCCGTTTTTTGGTAATTTAAAGGTATCGTTTCGAAGAACGCAAAAGGCCTCTTTAGCATTTTACAGCAAATTCTCAAGTGTTCGATTCCTTTCATTACACGCGTTTAATCTTGCCATTTCTTTGATATGACAACCATTAGTGCAGATCCGATCGTCCACCATGGAGAGAAGGTTTATTTCCCTATAATGACAAAGGGATGTACGGATGGGTAAAAGAATTTCGTCTGCTGTATCGGACGAATGGATCTTTTCAATAAGTAATTGCATTTTCCCCTAATTGGCTGTATCAGAATGGGAGTATTTCGAAGCTTATATCAACTCATAGATGACCACGGAATGCGTTATCAAGGTTGCCTTTGTACCGTTTTCCAACGAGTGCTAGGGTAAATTTTGCTTAAAATGATTGTTTTCAATAATTTTATATTACCATGAGAATGGGGTAAATGGTCTGAGCAGAAGGTTCATCTAAAAATCATTCGATTTACCAGCAATATCATATTAGTCGCTCCAGATAGTGAATATCCACCACATGACG